TTCTCGCTAGGCAGCGATCCGGGCGTCTGCCAGGAAAGCATTCGTGGAACGCGACGTCGGGGGTAGAAAGGCAAGGGTCGCTCTCCGAAAGGCAGCGCCACTAGCTGGATAATATCGAGTAGGTGATATAGCGTGCTTTCGCAAAAGGCCAACCGACGGCGACGTCACTGCTAAGTGGAGCGCTGGTTCTCGTATCGTTGGATTCGAGGGCAGAAACAGATGGGTAATCGCAGAGGGTGTACCTGTCTGCGTGGCTGTCGACGGGCTTCGACCGTGTGCTGCGGCGGAAGCGTTGGCATACCAGTATCTCTCTAAGCATCGCGACGGTGGAGTTGGAAGATATGCGCCGTCAGACGGGCAACAACAGTTATTTGTGGACGAAAGAAGTGCGCTACCAGAACCACGGGTACAAGAGCATCCTGCGCAAGAACATCCTATGGCGACGGAAGAGCGTCCGGGGATCCCGAGTACATGGAATAAGCATTTGGCCAAACGGAAGAAGGTGAACCGTCTGATGGAATGGTTGTTCCTGCGCCGCCCGCGTCGAGGTCGTTGCTGGTGACTCGAAAGCCTCTCCAGAGGTCGTTACTAGACGACGTCCCACGCGGTATACGGAGTAGTAACGCAGCGATGCGCAGAAGAGTCGAGAATGTCGATGGTGCCGTGGGAAGGGTTCCCGATTCTGTCTCGGAGCCAGCTCCCGAACCAGCAAACCCACTTCTTGATGCCATGCGCAGGGCCGGAACATCAGGGGCCGGGCATGTATCTGCTAACCCGCATAGAAGCATCATTCGCTGTTAAGCCACATGGATCGCTTGTCGGATTTGCCAATGAGCGCACCGTTCAGAAGCCTCAATCCAATCATAAGATGAAGAGTGCGACGACTCTGGTATATCATCGAGCATATGAGGACGTTAAAAGCGGCTTACTGGCAAGCGAAGACGAATGGGGAACATGGCGGAAGTTCAACGCCGCCGTTTTTATTGATTCCGTGGAACTCCAAAATCTCCACGGCGAAAGAATACCGCATGGTACCTACGCAGAGGATTGAGATTGACAAGAATGAACATGCCCGCAGACCGGGTGGACCTTCGGTTTCACCGCAGTAGAAGAGTACATTTGTCGTGCGTGGAGATTTGGAAGAGTCGTTGGGTATCTGCGCGGATTCATCAACGTGCGAACAAGAAGGGCCAAGGTTGATAGTATCATGGGCCGCCGGCGCGAAGAATACTCAAGTGCGCCGACATTACATCTGCGCGCTTCCAGGTTCAGGAACTCGACCGCCTCATGGTGCTCGAGCCACCGCCCTACGGACTCGAATGAGTACCGGATGGTGAAGCACTGATCGCGCGCATGCCTGTCTATGGCGCGCGTGGCGCAGGGCGAGGATTTGGGAGGAAAATTCGCCGAATACTTGAAGCTCATGGTCTAGCGGAGAATGGTATCGTGCCGTTTTTATTCAGCATTCACAATGACAAGCATGAGATCACGTGTATGTTAGGTACACATGTAGATGGGCATATTCTGGGCTGCAGATGATAAAATTCAGAGAATCATCGATTCGGTGTTAGCAGAGTTTGAGATTCGCGAGATCAAGTTGGACAATTTCCACGATTGGTTCAGAAGTTGCTCAAGGTGCAGATTTCACGGCGAGTTTCGCGGCCGAGGGCAATATTGAGAATATCGAAGCTGCATCCTATCCTAGAGACAGTCCCCTCGCGAGAAAATGCAATGAGGGTGAGACGGCGCAGCTCAGATCGGTCGTATGTGTTTTGTCATGGGTTACACGTCAGTGTAAGCCTGGGCTATTGTATCGTGCGAGCAGACTGCAGACAGCAGCGCGTCGCGCTCAGGTACTCCATCTCAAGGAAGCCAACCGTGCATTAGAAGAAGCAACTCAGTCCGCTGACTGCGGATTAGTATGTAGAGGTGGAGCTGTTAAGTGGAATCAAGCTATGGCAGTTCTCGCCGTTGCTGGCGCCCGGGCAGGGGAAGAGGATATTTTCACGGGTGGAATCGAGCCTCTCAGGTCACAGAGGGCTAGGTTCAACGGACTCGCTGGGCTTGGATTCATCGAGGGGAGCAGTGATCAGGTTCACTTCCTCTGTATATCTAATAAAGTTATCAGACGAATATGTAAGTGTACACTGCAAGCAGAGACTCTGGCTTGTTTATGGGGTGTAGAATCTGGCGTGCGCATTCGCGCCGACATCGTAGATGCGCACGGGGCGCCCGGCGCCGGAAAGAAGCTGCCAGCAAATTGGGAAGACACTTCAGCCATGTCTATGAGACATGCATGGATGACGGATTGTAGAAGCCTTGAAGAACACCGAATGGCCCCAGCTATGGGCAAGACAGAAGATAAGCGCTTGAGTATTCATTTAGGTCGTTTAAGACATGATATTGACTAATGGAATGGAAGAAGTAGACATTTCACATCCACGCATATTCTGTGATAAGATCCGATGGATCGATACAAGTGTTATGGCTGTTGATTGTGGCGAATAATTAGCCTACGGATTTCTGTGATAAGATCCTACGTACTGGTTCGTATAACGTACCCCCAGACCCTGGATCTACCTTGCAGAAGTTTAGGGAACAATTGGCGAGGTCCAGAGTGAATGCTATCCCATCGGGGAAGTGAGTGACTGAGTCCTGGCTTCCTTGGACTTGAGCAATCCCAGCATGGGAGTAGTCCTGTTACTGCCCCTAGAGGCTTACTTAGACCAACGGTACTGCGTGGTCGGTCGGCTAGCTCGTGATAGGGTTTCACTGGTGTGAGATAGTGCGTGCGTGACGCGTGCATATGCGCCACTCGCCGCCACTCACCGCCGTTTGACATCTAGGGCCCCCTTTTTGCCATTGCGCTAAAACGCATATAATCACAAGGCCGATTGCCCTCGGCCCCGTTTTGGTACATGCTGGTGTCCCAAGCGGTTTAAGATGGCTTCCGAGACGGCCGAGATTGTTCTGAGGGCCTTTCAAGTCGGCGAATACTGCCTCCAAGACGGCCACGGTTGCCCAAGAAAGCTTCCAAGTCGGCCCATAATCTTCCCAAAGCGGCCATCAAGGGCTCCCAGACGGCCCCAGGGGCCCCAAGACGCCCCAAGATGGCGACCCCACATATGCCCTGAAGAGGGGGTTTTCGTTTTGCAGTCTAGGTTTCAGCGAGGTTGTGATTCTGAACGCGCGGCGAGCGCTTCCCACCTAGCTCAGAATTCTGCCCGCTTTCCATCGCCCCTTTTGGCTTGACCGGGGGTGGCTTGACGGCCCCCTTACAAGGACACGAGTCAACATACCGAACAAGCTTTCGTTTTTCGCGCGGGACATGTGCTACGTCCTGTTCTCGCGGAGCATTTTGTAACGTCAGCGACGAGACGCGAATGTTGGAAGGGGATGGTTAGGAATTCTTATTGATTTTTTGACTGGTAGGATCGGACCACTTGGATTGAATTATTATATTTGAATTAGGTGGCTAGGACAAATCTGCGCGAATAGAAAATCATGGTGCAGCTCCAAGAATTTACACAAGGACCTAGTCATGAAGTCGCTTCCACAATGGGTTGCTTGCAAAAACGTGCCAGAACCGTGCAGGCAAGCACGCGCGAATATGACGTTGCCTTGTGAGACGTCAGCGCGCGCCAAATGGTCTGAAAAACCACCCCCGCTTCCCGACCCCCCCCCCCCCCACGGCGGGGAACGGATTGAAGGGGAGGGCCTCCCTTCGACACGGAGTGCCGTCGAAACAAGCCGTGCTAGAAAGGAGCTTCATGCCGAGGTAGCGAAGGGTTGACTTCGTTCTCTTTCTCCTCAGTCGCTCCACAGCGGAAGTTGGCAGAAACACACCCATCTTGTTTTCTTTCCTCCCTCATCCCTCTGCCTTCGTCCTTCCTCACGTTTTTTTTCTATGATCCTTCTTCCTGTTTTCTCACATGTCCTCCCTTTGCCTCATCTCAAGGACGCGGTGGATCGTGAAGAGGAGGAGCAGAATGGTGGGCCACCGCCAGTCCGCATGGTCGTGCACTGCGCAGTTTAAGAAGCGTGGGCACAGAAAACATATCGAGATCCGGGCTTTTACGAAGCTCATCGTGCGCGCTGCTCGACTCCTTTGGCTGCGTCGCCACCGATGCAGATGCGCTACTCATTTTCAGGTGCCTCCCCTGGATCCCGTGCGCCCTGTTGTGCCGCACTCTGACAGCGCGAGGGCGGGTGTGCGTCTTCTCAAGTAGTTTCCCTCGCTGTTGCAGCGTGTCGCGTGGGGTCAGTGTGCGCGTTGGGCGTCGCGGGATGCGGGAAGGCCCTCGCCGCAAGCGCAAACTGTCGGGGTGCTGGCCGTTCAGTGTCAAGCCGACGTCAGTTGCGCCGCAACCGTCCGGTGCGCATGCAAGCTGTTTCAGCGTCGCGCTGTTTTTTGCGGCGCTGGTCGTGGAATGCCCACCGTTCAAAGCGTGTGCTCGGCAGAGGGTCAAGGAGGAGGGGTGGGAGGAGGAACAGAAGGAGGAGAGGAGGAGGAGGAGGAGGAGGGAGGAGGAGGAGGGGAGTAGGAGGGAGGGAGGGGGGAGGGAGGGAGGAGGAGGGAGGGAGGGGCGGGCGGGGGCGGGCGGGCGGGCGGGCGGGCGGGCGGGGCGGGCGGCGGGGGGGGGGAGGGGAGGGAGGAGGGAGGAGGGAGGGAGGGAGGAGGAGGAGGAGGAGGAGTGAGGAGGAGGAGAAGGAGAGGGAGGAGGGGAGAGAGGAGGAGAGGAGGAGGAGGGAGGAGGAGGAGGAGGAGGAGGAGGAGGAGGAGTGAGGAGGAGGAACAGCCAAAAGGTCATGGCGGCGGGCATTGGCTTCCTTACGGCGTCCGATTCGCTTGCCGCGTCTTTGACCTGTCAGAAGCGCGTTGCCTCTCTGCTCCTTTTTCCCTCTTTCCTCCTCCCCCTGCTCCCTGATCCCTCCTCTTCCTCCCTTCAACCTGCTCTTCTTTTCAGTCCTTCCTCATTCCTTTCACCATGGACGCAAAGGAACACGTGGACCAGCTGTATGGCGAGCCAAAAACGGAGCAGCGGCAGTTCGTATTTGATGTTTGTTTGGGTACGGACACTGGCCAGGCTTGTAGCAGCGGGAGGGTCAGAGAGGTGAGGGCTGCAAGGAGTGGCTGCGAGTTGTGCTTTCCACTTGGTATCCTCACTCCGTGCCTTCTTCCTCTAACCCAGACAGTTGTGGCGATGCTGGCAACGCGAAGCATCTGGTTTCTTGCAGCTAGCCCTGCCACAGTGCCAGCGCATCAACGCAGTAAAGATATTGGTTTTAAGACCCTATCCAGTGTAGTAGCCTGTCTGAAGCGGCGCAGGTTTCAACTCTTTTCTCCGTATTCGTTCTGTTCCGTCGGCCCAGGTCAGCATGTTCACGGCCGTTAAGTTCATGCTATTATCACTTTTTCAATGGAGTCTCCAGTGGGTAACCCCCCGAGGCCCGTCGTCGCCGTCTTCTGTTTTCTCTGGGAGTGCACTGAGTCGTCGGATTTTTCGTCGCCGTTTATTATCCAGGTCTTCTCTGTGTTCCCTGGGGCGCAGGTTGCGGGCCGGCTCGTCTTCTTGATCGCGCAGTCTCAGAACGCGCAATTGAAGTGTCATTTGCGTTCGTGTTTCGTGATTATGCTCACGCGTTTTGGCCGCGTGGGCCCGGAGCGCAACATTCAAGTGTCATTTGGGTTTGCGTTTGCGTATGGGTGTGTGCGTGTGTGGGTGTGTGTGTGCGTGTGTGTGTGTGTGTGTGTGTGTGTGTGCGTGCGTGCGTGCGTGTGTGTGTGTGTGTGCGTGCGTGCGTGCGTGCGTGCGTGCGTGCGTGCGTGCGGGTGCGTGTGTGTGTGTGTGTGTGTGTGCGTGTGTGTGTGTGTTGTCGCGCTTGTGTTGAGACTTCTCTTGTCGCGTCGTCCAGGAGCGCAGACTTGAAGTGTAATTTGCGGTTCTGTTTCGCGTTTCTGTTTGAGCATTTCCGGTCGCGAGTGTAAGGCAGAATTTGTTTTATCAGTTTTCGATTTTTGTGCTTATGCTTTGGTTTTTCTGGTCGCGCAAACTTAGAGTTTGAAGTTGAAGTATCCTGTGCTCTCGTGCTCTGGACGCGTTAGTCCCACCACCTTTCAATTGGCACGTGCGCGCATGACGAGGTTCACTGCACGCCGGGATGCGGCTCCAGTGTTGCCCTCGGCCCCGGACTCCAGGCGGCACAAAATGTGGCGACGCCAAGCAGGCCGCAATCACCTCAGAGTTGGTGGCTCTGTGCTTCTGTTCTGGTTTTCTGATCGCGCGGTCCTGGACCGCGAGATTGAAGCGTCATTTGCACTCGCGCTTCGGGTTCGTGTTCTAGCTCTATGGGCCGCTCGGTTTCGGAGTGCGAAATTGAAGTGTCCCTTGAGTTCTTGCTTCGTGTTTCTGTTCTGGCTTCGTTGGCCGTGGTCCGGGAACGCGAAATAGAAGTGCTATTTGCGCTTGCCATTCAGGCTTCTTTTCCAGCTTTTCTGGCCGCGTGGCGCTCAATTTCAATGTCCTGTAGGTGTTTGTTTGATTTGTCGTCGCCGTTTTTCAAACGGAGTTTGCTGGCATGCCGGTGTTCTTCGCAGTGTTTTCGGGGGGGTGAGTTTGTGTAGATCGTCCAGTGTCGCCGTTTCTTGGCGGGTAGAAGCATATGTATCTTCGCTTGTCTCTCCTGTGGGAAGGAACCCCAACAAGTACAAAGGGGAGTGATCTGCTATACATTGTGGACGCCTGTGCAGCCTTGTCCAGGACAACAGAGTTGCAGTAGAAAATGAGCTGTCGATCAATCGCCTGCCTGGTGCCGACAACGACGTGCAACAACAAACTCAGAGCATCTGTAAAATTTCTAGACGCTTCGCGTATCCCCACCAGCCCGTCCAGAAATGAGCCCCAGGGGAGTGGAGGTGATGAGGGAAGCGGGGGAGCATGCAGAAGAACAAAGAGCGGGTTGAGCCGCCATACGCCCCAAGAGGGGGAGGATGTAGAAGGAGTCGTCGTCGTCGGAGTAGGAGGAGGAAGACGAGGAGCAGGAGGAGGAGCAGGAGGAGGAGGGGGAGGAGGAGGAGGAGGAGGAGGAGGAGGAAGATGAGGAGGAGGAGATGGAGGAGGGCGAGGACGAGGAGGACGAGAAGGAGGAGGAGGAGGAGGAGAAGGAGGAGGCGGAGGAGGGGGAGGGGGAGGAGGGAGGAGGAAGAAAAAGAGGAGGAGGAGGAGGACAATGGCGAGCTTGGGGGCCTCTTGGGCCGTCTTTGGGGCCTCTTGGCGGTCCCGGGGGCCTCTTGCGTATCTCGGGGAGCCTCTTGTGGCCTCTTGGGGGTCTCTTGGAGGCTCTTGGAGGCCTCTTGGGGGCCTCTTGGGGCCTCTTGGGGCCCTCTTGGGGCGCTCTTGGGGCGCTCTTGGGAGCCTTCGAGGCGCTCTTGGGGCCATCTTAGAGGAGATCTATCAAAGAAGGGGGGTCCCCAATTAGCGCTGCCCCTCTAAAGTGCCTCGAATCGCTTCTTGGGCCCCCCAAGAGGCCAAAATCTTTCCAAAACCTAAGGAAAATCAATGTTTTGTGTTTTCTCGCCTTTTCGCTCTTGGAGCCGTCTTGGGCCGTCTTGGGAGCCTCTTGGGCCTCTTGGGGGTCTCTTGGGAGCCTTGTGGAGGCCTCTTGGGCGCCTCTTGGGGCCTCTTGGAGCGCTCTTGGGGCGCTCTTGGGGCGCTCTTGGGAGCCTTCGGGGCGCTCTTGGGGCCATCTTGGAGGAGATCGATCAAAGAAGAGGGGGTCCCCAATTAGCGTTGCCCCTCTAGAGTGCCTCGAGTCGCCTCTTGGGCCCCCCAAGAGGCCAAAATCGTTCCAAAACCTATGTAAAATCAATGTTTTTTGCTTTCTCGCCTTTTCGCTCTTGGAGCCGTCTTGGGCCATCTTGGGAGGCTCTTGGGGCCTCTTGGGGGTCTCTTGGCAGCCTCTTGGAGGCTTCTTGGGGGCCTCTTGGGGCCTCGTGGGGCCGTCTTGGGGCGCTCTTGGGAGCCTTCGGGGCGCTCTTGGGGCCATCTTGGAGGAGATCTATCAAAAAGGGGGGGGGTCGTATATTAGCGTTGCCCCTCTAGAGTGCCTCGAGTCGCCTCTTGGGCCCCCCCGAGAGGCCCAAATCCTTCCAAAACCTAGGTAAAATCAATGTTTTGTGTGTTTCTCGCCTTTTCGCTCTTGGAGATGTCTTGGGCCATCTTGGCCGTCCCAACGACCCGCGGAACGCCCCGTCCAGGTCAGTGGGGAGGGGTAAGGGGAGGGGTAAACCCCTCCCCGAAGGGGAAGAAGGGGGTTGGCAGAGGAAACTCCCTAAACCACCTACGCCCTAAAGGGCTGGTGGGATATCGCCTGTTACAGGACAACTCTGTTACCATGCTCTACGGTTAAAAGCTGATGGTTCACCAGCTTGTCCGTTTTTCTATAGGTTCCACTCTTCGCTGTTTCGACTGGACCGCGACGTCGATGTCTTGTGCTTGCTGCCAGTATTGTTCCGACACTCGGAATCCGCCGATCCGGCGTGCGAGTTTAAAAGAGCGTTGGCGTAAGCTCGCTTACGCTTCGCTCTGGGGAAAGGCTTAGTTTCGCTGTGGAAGGAGGGGCTGCGTTTTCGAATGGGGGAGAGCTTGTTTCGCTTTGGAGGAGAGGGGGGGGGGGTTGTTCGGTTTTCGGGGAGGCGGCTCGGTTTCGCTTCGGAAGGGTCCAGGTGGTGGCGTCTTTCCCAAACCAAACAGGTCTTTCCAAACCAAACCTTGGTTACGGTGACCCGGGGCTTGGTTTGGTAAGGCCCTTTTGGTTCGGGAAGACTCGGTTGGTTTGGGATGACCCGGTAGGTTTGGGAAGAGCCTGTTTCAGACCAGGACAATACACATAAACACAAAAGGGTTTTGTTGGTTTTACCCTGGAAGGGGGCGTCGTTTTTTGGGGCCTCCGCAGCGGCGGCCACGAGACCCGCCGCACGCGCCGCGCGCCCGCGCCGCCGGCCCGCGGGCCCTCGCAGCGCCCCGGCGCGCCCCCTGGGTTCGGGCGAGGCGGGGCGCAGGGTGTCCCCCTGTCGGCATGCGCGTTTGCTCCCCTGCACGGTGCGTGCGGCCGAGTCTGTCCGTATGTCACACTGGCGTGCGAGTTGTGCGCGCAAGCTGGCTCGTCTGCCGATGTGTCACACTGGCGTGCTTGTTGTGCGCGCGCGCTGGGCGTCGTCGTCGTCTTGTGTCGGCCTGCCCTGTCGTCTCTTGCTGTCCTCCTTGTGGCGCTGTGGTCTCGCCTCCCCCTGCCTCCTCCCTCCTCTCCTGCCCTGGTCTCGCAGTCTCTCTTCCACCAGGGCCGCCCGCCAGCGGAGCGCCGCGAGCATGTGCGTTTTGTTGCCGCGGCGTTGCTCCTAGCCAGGACGGGCGCCACGCAGCTTTAGACCCGGCCGTCTGCGCCGGGCTGGAGCCCCTGACCGGTGCATGGGCGGGAGGTGCCGGGCGAGTGCTGGCACGGTCGTGGCCTGCGCCGAGGGGGGGCTGGCGCGCTAGGAGACCATGGACTGTGTGCTCGCGGTGGCAAACTGCGCGAAGGGTTCTATGCTGCTCCGCCGTCCGCGCGCGATTCCCACCGTGTCTGCTTGCCTACCCTGTTGCGCTCCATCGGCTCGCGGCTGTCTCGTGCCCTCCTTGTCCCTTTCCTTTGTCCCGTTCCTCTGTTCGTGGTTTGCCTTGCTCGCTTTCTTTCGCTTCTCTCCCCTCCTTCCCTTGCTCGAGGGGCGTGTCCTTTTCATACCGGGCCCGCCAGTCCTGCCTTGTTGCGTACGCCTTGGTCCCACAGTGTTGTTTCGCCTCTGCCTTTTTGTCGCGGTGCGGTCCTGCTTCTCTGTCGGGTCGCGCCTCGTGTGCTTGTGTCTCTCCGTGCTGCTTCGCCACGGCTTCAGTGGTGTGGCGGTCCTGCTTCGCAGTCGTGATGCGCATCGTGTCGCTTCGTTGTGTCGCTCTTGTGTGGTGCTTGTGCTTCTCAGTCGTGTTGCGGCCCCTTGTCTTCCCTCGCGTCTGGGCTGCGCTTCACGGGTTCTTGTTTTCGCTGTTTTTGTCTC